CCCCAAAACCCCAAAACCCCAAAACCCCATGAGGATATTGAATTGACTAATTCGACAAAAAAAATATTTACAGATCATATCAGGAACAATAATCATCGGATTATTTAATAAGAATTACGGTAATGAATCAATAATAAAACCCGTTATTACTCTAAGAAGTTAAACTGAATCTTGAATAAAGAAAATACTGAAATAATGAAGCAAGAAAGAGTAAAGTGACTCTGAATGACCTTATATGAAATAGTGGGGATATTTATATTAGTGTGAACTGACTTGATAGTATAAGTTAACATTATCAATGATTACAACGACTTACTCCTATATAACGTCCTAAAATATTGAACTATTTAAGGCAAACTAGATAAGAATTAATTACAATAATTTAATATCGAATGACAGATAACACAGTGAAAGGCTTTATAGATGACTCAACTAGAGCTAGAAACACTTTCCCATTAAGTATTGTATATTGATTCTTACATTTTATAGGCGTTGATGACTTAGTCAACGTAGTAGAAAAGTATCGTCAAAGAACTTACGACGAGGACATTAGATATATAGATCAGAATCTGAAAGGTATGACTTAATTGTCTTTTAATTTTATTTCTGTAGGCATGTCTGGAATTGCTGAATCTCTTAAGACTTCATACGAAAGGGGATTGATCCCTACTGATTTCGACTAAAGAAATGCACAGTTTGGATCAAACAAGAAAGTTCCTAGGAAGAGGACTCCATTCTACAGATTATTCTTCGGAGCCCTCGATGATTTTATGCTTAAACTACTTCTTGTTTGTGCTTGTGTCTCAATTGCTATTGAAGTTGGTTTTGCAGAGCCAGGTCACAGGAGTCATGGTAAGAATCTAATTAAACACCTAATTTATTCTAGCTTGGATTGAGGGTACTGCTATCTTCATCGCTGTTTTCGTGGTGGCCTTTGTAGGGTCATACAATGATTATCAAAAGGAACTATAATTCATAAAGTTATAGGCAATAAGCGATAAAGACAATATTGTAATACTGAAAACTTTAATAAGATTATAGGTTATATGTCTAAGAAATGGAAAAGAAGAACAAGTTTAATTTGACAATATAGTTGTCGGTGATGTCATCAAGATCAAGGCTGGTATGAATGTGCCTATTGATGGAGTGATCATTAGAAGCTCGGGAGTAGCTGTCAATGAATCTGCAATGACTGGAGAATCAGATGAGCTAAAGAAAGAATCTCTCGAGATTTGTCTTCACAGAAAAGAGGAAAAGGAGGCAGAATTCGCCTTGACCAAAGACCCTCATAAAACTTCTCACGATCTTCCTTCCCCAGTACTTCTTTCAGGTACTTAGATCACTACAGGTGAAGGCTGGTTTGTTGTCGTCATGGTTGGAAAGTATAGTTGCGTGGGTAAAATTCTAGGTAAACTAGAACAGAGAATTGAGACTACACCTCTTCAAGAAAAGCTTGAGGCTATTGGAACAGATGTTGGCAAACTTGGAATGTATTGTGCTATGCTCACAATTCATGTCCTCTTCCTTAGATTCTTCATTACTAGATTCATTGATAGAACTTTCGATTTCTTCGGAGGAGAGAGGGTAATGAATAAGTATGGAAAATTTGATGGCTCTTTAAAGGATTATTGCGAAGAGTGGCTTGGATATCTCATTATTGGAGTCGCAATTGTCGTAGTTGCCGTTCCAGAGGGACTTCCTTTAGCTGTCATGATCTCCCTTGCTTACTCTGTTAAAAAGATGCTCATGGATCAGAATTTCGTCAAGAGACTTGCTTCTTGTGAAATCATGGGAGGTGCTAACAACATTTGCTCTGACAAAACTGGAACTCTTACAATGAACAAAATGACTGTTACCAACATCTGGGCTGGAAGAGATCAACAATTGAAGGTCCAAGATCCCCAATTCAGATGGGCTGATTACTTTAACAATGATAAACATGCTAATCTTATTTCAGAAGCTATTTGTTGCAATACATCTGGTTCTATCAGAGAGGCTTCTGCTACTGAATAAGCAATGATGAACATGATGGTTAAGTTTGGAATTGACCTGGAGGCCAAAAGAAAAGAAAAGCTACCATTAGACTTTATAAGATTTCACTTCACCTCAAAGAGAAAGAGAATGTCAACAATTACTTAGAATTGTGGGTTGACTGAGCATGGATACGATAGAAGGATTCACATGAAGGGGGCTGCAGAAATTGTGCTTGCAGCTTGCACCTATTATCTAAATCAAGATGGTGAAAAGATTCCTCTTCATGATGAGATGAAGTCCAATTTACTCTAAATTATTACTTAATATGCCAGTTAAGCTCTAAGAACCATATGTATTGGTTACAAAGATCTCAATCATGGAGAAGGTGGTCCTACACATGAAGACATGGATGAGGCTGGAGTTATCAGAGTTATTGAAAAGACTGGATTCACTTTGATTGGCATCTTAGGAATCAAGGATATCATAAGACCGGAAGTACCTCATGCTGTAGCTTAATGTCAAAGAGCTGGAATTACAGTAAGAATGGTTACTGGAGACAATAAAATTACTGCTATGGCAATAGCCAAAGAATGCAAAATTATTGATGATTAATTTGGAATTACAGCAGATAGCGTGATGGAAGGACCAGAGTTCTATGAAAGGATGGGTGGACTTATTTGTAAAACCTGCAAGTAAGATAGTCCATGCAATTGTGATCCAAAGGATGTCGTAGAAGGTGTAAAGAATCAAACCGCTTTCAGATAAATTCATCAACACTTGAGAGTCTTAGCTAGATCAAGACCAGAAGATAAATATTTGCTGGTTACAGGACTTAAGGAGCTAGGTGATGTAGTTGCCGTGACTGGTGATGGTACAAATGATGCACCAGCTCTTAAGAAAGCCGATGTCGGATTTGCTATGGGTATTACTGGTACTGATGTTGCCAAGCATGCTGCAGATATCATTGTTATGGATGATAACTTCGCTTCAATTGTCAAAGCTTGTATGTGGGGTAGAAACATTTATGATAACATCAGAAAGTTCTTACAGTTCTAACTAACTGTGAACATTGTGGCTCTCTTCACAGCATTCGTAGGATCAGTTATTCTGAAGGAATCCCCACTTTAACCAGTTCAACTTCTATGGGTTAATTTAATCATGGACTCTATTGCCTCAGTAGCGTTATCAACAGAGCCTCCCAAAATTGAGCTTTTAAATAGACCTCCTCAAGGAAGAGATGATTATATTATCTCTAGAAAGATGGTAAAGCATCTTATCTGTATGTCAATCTATGAAATCATTATTGTCTATTCAATTGTATTTGCAGGTGAACACTTCTTCCCTGAGCCTGAAGTCAAGTATAGATATACTAGAAAAGATATTCCTTATGTTTTTCCTGGAAGAGTAGAGGATTGGGATGGCACACCACTATGGAGTCTATATGCTGAAGATTTCGGCGCAAGTAGACATATGTCTAATGTATTTAACGTCTTTGTCATCTTGCAAATTTTTAACCTTATTAATGCCAGAAAAATCAATGATGAACTCAATATCTTTGACAATGTATTCAGTAATAGTACATATTGCATTATCATGTTCATTATCTTTGGTGGATAAGCTTTAATTATGGAATTCGGAGGAAGAGCACTTAAGGTTAGTCCCTATGGACTCCACTGGTCACATTGGATTATCGCTATAATTCTCGGATTCACAACTTGGGGTGTCAATTTCTTCATTAAAATGGTTCCGGATACCTGGTGTCCATAGTTTGGCAAGAAAAAGAAAAATCCTATGATGGAAGAACCAAGTGCTCTTTCATTAAGACGAAACAGAACTCAGAGCTTTACTCTTAGATAGCCAAGCAATGTTGTAAAAGAGGGCTCTGGAAGGCAAGGTTCTTTTAAATGAAGATCGATTTGATATTCTAAATTTAATATTAAAAAAGCAAAGTGAATTTATGATAAATTTACGATGCCTAATAATTCATTCAAACTTTGAATTTCTAAATTTACTATAATGGGGTTTTGGGGTTTTGGGGAGATCGGAAGAGCAC